TTCTACTTGGACTGTGAAAAGAAATAAACCTTGCACTTAATTTGTATTGCATACAAAGTAAGGGTAAGCTTCTCTTTCAACTGTGCTTCAGTTGAAATAGAATAATAAAAACCAAGTGGAAAACCATCTAAGACATTTTTTTCATTGTCACTATGAATGACTGGAAGTTTTCATAACTGCTATATATAAGGAAATTCAAATTGATCAGATGCAGTCATCTTAATGTGATAAGAGTTTGGAAAAAGAATTAAGGCAAGTTTATCAATGCATGCAATACATAACCTCTGTTAAAACTGAGATTTCTTTTTTTAATAGATCTTTTGCGTTTTTCTACATCTACTTCAGCAAATGTGGGGACTGTGTTTTACCTAGCCATAAAAAAAACTGCCCCTTTGACCAAAAGGGCATTGGAAAGAAAACCATACTTAAACTCACCCTGCTTTCCTTTTTACATCAAGTTCAATTCTGAGGATCTTCTAATGCTCTGAAACAAGTAAAGTCTCAATAATATAAACAATATAAGTATAGATAAATTATCTTTACCCATTCATTCCTCTACCTTCATCCCAGATACTAATTTAAGAAGTCATAAAAACATCTCTAAAAAAAGTATTTTTATAGTCATATACCCATTTTAGACTTGTATGATTTATGTTTTGAAACGCATATTTACATGCTCCAATATACGAAAGGATATTCACATTTTAGGTGCATTTAGACACAATCTTCACGTTTTTTCATTCAGTGGTGAATCAACAGTGAGTATATGGCTTGAGATGAGGTAGGTATTGAACACAGCCTGCTCAGCTTGACTGCTCTGACCCTTATTTATGATGTACAGTGTTTTGCACAGAACACAGATGCTTCCCATTACTGATGTGTTTCAATCAGTTATCTTTTGAAAAGACTATCTGTATGTAGAAGGACATTCCTGACTGGAACTACAAACTGACGCGTACTTCCTCGTAGCCTGGAGCTACATGGCTACATCTCTAGAAGAAGGACAGTATTCATTTTTGCATTCATTAGACATTGAACTTACTAAATTAACTCAGATTTTATTCTAGAGGCTGGCCATCTACAAACTACATATAATAAAGCTCAGAGTTTAAAAGCTTAAATTTTATCATGGCTCTGATCCACAGGATTTACTCAAACAACAAATTAATGATGAAGTCAGAAAATAAAGCAAACAAGCTGAGCAAAGGCCCGAGCACCTTGGCTCATCCTTCCCCTGGCAGGAATAGAGAGATTCCAAGTGTTGAGCTGATCAGATGACTACAGCTTAGACTTAATTATCCAGTACCTCTGTTCTTATAAAGGTAATCACTGTTCTCATCACTAAAACCATGTTAATTAATTTCACCTATTGTCTGGAAAGCATCAGTAAAATGACACACAGCTACTGAAATCGTACTCACGTGAAACAACACACAATTCGAACCCTTACTTCTCTTCATGTTACTAAAACCAAGCTCTGCACATATGTAGATGTTTTGGTCTTGTTTTTAAGGCTCTGATTTTAGAGGGATCCTAGTAGAATGTATATGAGTCTAGTTTCCACTGAGTTTAATGACATAACTAATAACAGAATGAGTTTAGAATGAGCTATTAATCACTCACTAGAGTACTGTTATTGCATTTAAAGGTATTATTTGATGTCTAATGAGAAATTAAGATGAATTAAAGTAATCTTCATATGACATTTGATATCTACATTTCAAGAGACGCTTTGCCCCTACCTGACCTTGGTAATTTTGAAGACAATGTAAAGGTAGTAAAAAAAAGGAGCTATACATTTGAGACTTATTTAACCTTCAGCTCAGGCCCTTTTGATTAATATTCTGTGTTGATAATTCTCAGATGAAGGTTCTTTATGTGTAAGGAGAATAAAGTGCCGAATTCTGTTCTCAGTAGCAAAAGCATAAAATATGATTTATTCCTCTAAAGCAAAAATATTCAATTGCATCACAAGAAAATTTCTACATACTTTTAATACCACAAAATATTTTGCCATTCATCAACCATTATTCCAACTTTGGCATTTGGTAAATGCCAATCACTCTCGTGCAAACCTTAATAGTTTAAAAGCAAGTAAACTGCACCACCAGCGCAAATATAAACATTCTTTGTTGAACTATGGAGTATAAGAATATACCGAAACAAAAGGACATTATACTTTAATATTAGTAATAAAATAAAAGCTTAACTTGCAGTTGTTACAATTATAAGAACTCATTTTTATATAGACTAGTTGGCAAAATGTTTGAGAACTGTAATAGGATCCAATCATTGTACTATATTTATTTTTCTGGCTTTAAGGTAACAAATACGGCTGCTGCTCATGTATATAACAACTTTTCACCAAGAGAATAAGCATTCAAATGATATGCATATACTGGAAAGCGCAGTATTTTCCTTGTAGACAATTCTTAACTGAAGAGAAGCATTGTCTTACAACCACACTGCTTTGTTATCCCCATTTAGATAGCTATTATCACAAGGACCATTTTTGCTATGACATTACTATGAAAGTTTAGCCTTGCTTGCATAAACTAAGAGCTTATCTTTGCTCTTGGATCCGTTATATAATTTCTACTGATACTACTGGAGGCTATGGTGTTAAAGGTAAATGCTCGACCTTGCTCAGTTTCAAAGTTTCAATGCATTATTCAAAATTGCTGTCGGATATGAACAAATGAGGTGAAAAATCTGAAGAGCAGTAAGACTACCACAGATTTACATTTAAGGCCCAGTACAGTACAAAGCCATAGTTTTTTTTATCCTAACTTTTATTCGTGAATTAGATATCCTAGCTTAAACATACTATACTAAATACTACTGAATCAATGAGGCATCGTGTCAGAGGAGACCATACCCATGCATTTCTGCTGCAGTGCTTGGTGGAGAACGCATTGCTACGGGTCTTCTGAAACCTACCTTTTGTGATGGGTTAGGATTCATTCTCTCACACATTTATTTCCATTGCTAACCAGTTTATAAAAATAATTCAGTATAAAGCTAAGAAAACCTGATTGCTCAAGAATCTAAAAAACAGGTTTGTAATAGCAGCAAAGAAAGGGAGACTTGTGTGAATAGTACTTATGATGGCGACTTAAGGGAAATAGAATACTAAACAACATATGGCAAATGTGTGTTGATATGCCTGCTTCCTATGCGAATGCAGAAAAGCTGATCCCAAAACAAGACTAAGAAAAGCATCACAGACACATTCTTTAATGTTGACTTGGAAGGCCAAGCTAAAGAAAACAGAACATTCTCCTTTACTTCTGCAGTCAGTATACTGCTACATTACATTTTGTACTAAACTTTCAAAAATCATTTTCTGAGGAAGCAGTCTCTTTACTTTCTATGAATTTTGATTTCTTCTTCAGCTCATTCAAAATACTAAACATAAAACATTCTCCAAAATAATGACATATTGGAGACTACTTCATGCTCCATCCTGAGAGTCAGTAGTCCCAGTTTTACTTTTCAGTTTATTATTATTTACCAAAGAAATCATAAAAATCCTTTTCTTGTATTGTCTGCATCACTTTTTAAGAAAAAAAAAAAGAGGTCCCATCTGATTAATACATTCCAATGCAGATTAAACCACAGATAATCTCAAACAGAACGTACCAATACCCTAAAATATTGTCAGACATACATGTTTTTGCTGCCTATAGTTAATAATCATGTATGCACAGTATGCAAGAAATAAAGAAATAAGAGTACATATGCACAATTGGTAGCATATGTATTAACCTTTCTTGATAATAAGCCAAGCCTTTTGTATTTTAGCTCTTTTCAATAAAGCACATTTTAACACAGACACGCTGCAGTTACTAATCATTCTTTCTCTCAAGTTTTTAAGCTGCAAAACTATACATGTGGAATTTTAGCAAACAATTTAGTTACATACTTAAAACAGATTTAACACCCAAATCCAAATCTAATGAAGTCAGACTTGGGATGAGGCTTCCACTTTGAAAGACTAATGCATGGTTATTTAGGTTAAAATTTTATGCTGTTGCTTGCTTCACCTGCAATATTTCCATGTCAGTGTTATACAGACTTAAAAGCAAATAAATATTACTAATTCAGGTTTTCAGAAGGTCATAGAAGACAGCTACATTCTCAGTCATCTGGGGAAAAAAACTACAGCATTTACATTAGATTAGACATTAGTGGATAACTGATTTTTTTCTCATTAACTGAAGACTTTTTGCAGCTCTTTCTTATGTTCTGTTTTCTCTTGGGATCTGAGGCCAGACAACCACATACAGGATCACAGCTCCTGGGAATTTAAGTGTTAGTAAATATACGGGCCCTGGTAAATTATGGAAATGGACACATTTGCTGTAATCAATGACAGAATAGGTATTAGAGGGCACATTTAAGTAAAGAAAACAAATCAAGTATATTCTTAGATTATGAATATACAGCTAGCAAGACCTGGAACAACATAATCAGTACGAACTGAGAAATTCAGTTTGACACTGCTCTCCATGCATTAAGAAGAAAGGAAAGTCATGTGTGCTCTAGAGATATATATATATATATATATATATATTGGTAAAGAGTAGAACCCCTTGGTTAGAGTACGCATAATTTCTTTACTCCTCCAGGTTAGAAAGTTTACTTTTTGGTATATGAGTTATTCCCATATACTAGGAAAAGAATTAACTGCTGGAATCCAAGAAAAGACCAGCAAGGACAGCAGTCTTCAAACTTTAGAAGACTCTCTGAAGACAAGGATAGGAATTTGATCTCCAAGCCCATGACAGGGATGACAAGCAGTAATCAGTTTCAGTCGTGCCAAGAAATATTTAGGTTAGATATTGGGAAAGTCTCCCAGTAAAAATAATGAAGCACTGGAAAAGATTGCGCACACAGGTTACAAAATTGTCTCCATGACATTTTTTTTTTTTTTTAAAAAAAAAAAGATGAACGGATGTGTGAATGTGTTGGGAATTGCACAACTGCCTTTGGATTCCGCCTTAGGGTGACAACATGGACTAGATAATCTCTTGATTTCCCCAGTAGCCCTGCTTTTCTATGACTGAAAAATATCCCCTGTAACCACTTACTCTGAGTGGAATAGATCAGCAAAGGCATTCTACCTGTAGTCCTGCTTACCTTTTTTTTCCCCCCACAAAGTTTAGTGGAAAAATATTGCACTTCAGACAAGCTCATTTTGTTCCCAAAATGAAATTAAGTCAAAGACTAGTTTTTTTTCCTCTGGAACATAAATTTCAGCATATGGTTCTTGCCAAATGCAGGCAAAGATCATCTGCAACCATTGCATTTTTGTTCCAGAGGCAAAAGGTCCCAAGTGTACAGCAAAAAAATCAAATCCCCATAAAATGCTGAGATTATCACCAGTTCCATTGCATAACCAGTATCTGTTTTCATATAAAAAAATAAAGTGTTTGAATTAAATGTTATTGCACCAGCAACTTTTTTTTTTCTTTTTAAATATCCCCATTCAAGTCAAACATTAAATTATTTTTATGAAGCAAAATATAAGATCTTTTCTAAAAGTATCAAGTAGATATGGTAGAGGTGCCATAGAGAAAATAGTCTAAAGAAATGACAAACATCAAATCAGAGATGATAGAAAGCAATCATTAGGTTGTTTCTTTTCCATGATTGAAAAAAAAAGAAATAAAACTCCAAAGAGGTTGCGTAGACTGCTGTATAGGTGAAACACACCTCTTCTCAATGAACTCAAGGCGTTGAAGCAGGAGTCACTTTCAAACTGTCAAGTGCAGCATGAATTCTGAAGTGTAACCTTGACTCCATAGAGTATTCTTTGTAGTTGTTTCTGCAAATGATAAAGTTAATTTATCATATAGAAAGCTCAAAGAGAAATATTTTTAACCTCACTTTCTGCATTCATTGAACAATCAAAGTTAGCCTTCAGATCTGCCACAGGAAACAGGTTGATACCATCAGCACACAATTTAGCTCATCTGTGCATCTAAGTGACCTCCATAGACTGAGTAGGAGAGGTCTCCAATAGCACTGTATTAGTGCAACATATAGCTCTGATATACTGACCAATACTGCTTACAATTACACATAGAGTAAACATGAATCCTAATCTTGGTGAATGTTTCCCTCATTTATTTTGGTCCTTCCAAAGCCCTTACAATTTCAAAGTAAGTCTCCTGTGGAGAAACCAACTAGAAAAAGCTTTGGGAAAGAAAGGCTGTTAGCTGAAAAAGTATGTTCAGTTTCAAAACATGTAACTTAACCATTGTTTTATAGCACATGGAAATCACATCATATAATCTAAAAAAAAAAAAAAAAAAAAAAAAAAAAAAACCATTTAAAAAAAAAAAAAAAAAAAAAAAAAAAAAAACCACTTACATACATATATAACATAGCTAAAATTCACATTTTTGAATGGTATATTGCATCATTGATATGCCTTTTTATGCACACAAATGGCAAATTATACCCCTTTACCCCATAAACAATGGGAAAATATTGTCCTGCAGAAAGAAAATATTGCTCTCTGGCCCTCCTGCCACAGACTGCAAATGAAAGAATGAATCTGAACTGCACTATGCTTAACCTGTTCCCAAAACACTTTTTTTTTTTTTTTTTTTTAACATATCATGTACATCTGGTCTCTGGGAAACACGTAACATTGATCCTTTTTCTGAAGTCTCCTACTCTACTCCATACATAGAGACTGGCCCCCTCCTATCATACCTTGGCCCCAACAGCAACAAGGTTAAATGAAAAAAAAAGTGTATTTTTCTTCACAATATGCTGTCTTGTCTAATACCATCTAGAATGTGACTGAAGAACAGAAATGACATATCAGAAAACTAAAATTCGACTTCTATTTTATTAACTTACTGTCAGAAAGAAAAGACACTTCTCCACTGCCGAAGTTACTCAGTTACTTTTAACTTAGTGACACAGACAAACCCTAAATGCACTTACTTTGCAGTTTCTATGCATCTTATTGCTTTTCCTCTCTCATCTTGTTGTTTGTACAGAAGACCCAACTCATACAGTGTGAATGGCACCAAGTAATTGTCATATTTTATCTGCTTCTCACTAGAAAACCATAAAAAAAAGTTAAATACAACATTTTTTTGAATGATCTCCTAATTTTTAAATGCAATCACCACCTGCAGTAACAGGCCATGGCCAAAGAAAACACTCTGGAACTTGTCCCTAAACATATCAATCATACTTTTAAAGAGTAGGTATAAAATACTATGAATATGATCTTCTAGAAATGTGAAATTATTCATTTCTATTTAAAATTCTTATTCTGCTCTGTGGTCAAAGCTTACCAGAACATACTCCCCAATTCCGTGACATGTAGTTCAAAAGTAAAGTTTTAAAAGAAGAGTTTGAAAACAGAATGCTATTAGATTAGGCAGTGTAATATAAATACTTCTTTCCCAAGGCTTGACTGAATATGTCAGCAGAGAAGTAACAGAATTCCTCTTTTCTTCACTAGGAGAAACTATTAGAATTGTAGAATAGTTGAGGCCATGCAGCACCTCCTAGCAAATTTGCTTCATCACCTTTCCAGGGATCGAGGTGAGTATGACTATCACAGCTTCCTGAAGCTCTTTCTTGAGGATCAGATCTTGCCTTCTAGATGATAGGGATGTCATTTGTTCTCTTCCAGACTCCCGCAATTCCACGACTTTTCAAGGATAATTGAGAGTGACCTCAGCGATACTGAGGCGCTCCCTTAGAGTACTAAGGGACGCACAGTACATGGACGCACTACATCAGGTCCTATGGACTACATCCCATTCCCATGGACATAGATACAGTTTAAGTGTTCCCTGGCCTGACACTCCTCCCACAAGGGTAAGTCTTCCATACATTGGAGTTTACCACAAGATTTAGGAACCTACGATTCCTGAAGGCTGGTTGTACCAATAATGACAGATGCAAAGGAGCCGTCAAGCACAGTGTCCTTTCCATGTCCTTTGTCACCAGCTCTTCTGCGCCTTCAGTAGATCCAGGCTCAGATTTCCTCTAGTCTTCCCTTCGCTGCTGCTCTTCCTAGCAAGTCTCTTTTTTTGTTGCCCTTCACAAACTGCACCAGATTCTAACCCACATGGGCTTTGCTTTCATAACTCAATCTCTGCTTGTTTGGACGCTAACTCTATCCTTCTAGATCATCTGTCCCTCTTCTCTCTAAGGCCATATCCCATAGGAACTGTTAGATTTTAACACTTTGATCCTTATTAAGACAAAATATCAACTAATCAAGCAAGGTTCTCAACTAGCAGTGGAAAATGTGTTGAAATTTTGAGAGCAACAAAGATGCACTTCATTCACCAAAGCAAACCTTAAGGCAGAAAGCAAATTTGCTTAAAGTAGCAAGAATGCTACTTGTCATACGAGAAACAGTCATAATGTACTGCAACAGCTCGAGAAGCAGAATAAGTAGCTGATAAACTGGTATTAAGTATGTCAAACACCTTTGGCCCTTGCAGATTTTGAAAATCATATCAGGGACTGCCTTATTTTAGGAGAATTTATATAAATTGCTCAGTTCACTAGAAAAATGCATGAATTTTGTCAAAAGTGCATTTATAGCTTACTCTAAGAATTTTATTAAGTTCACAGTTGCAGCCATGACATATAAAATGTTACTAAAATAGATACTGATTTATAAAACATGATGTTAGATTCTAGCATAGGAAACTCAATTTTCAAAAGAAACCGGTAACAACATTAATAATTTCTCATCTACTTGAAGCGCTAACAGTTGTAGCTCTAAATGTTGAAAAAACAATCAATCTAGGTAAACCATATTTACTTAATACTAATAGTTATACTAATAATTCTGCAAATACAAAAACACCAATTCCAAATATATTTAAGCGTCACTTGTTACAGCTTGGTAATTTTGGACTAAAACATCATATTTATGTCAAACGACATAAATTAAAAATTTCCATAGGAAAATGATAGTAAAGTTTTACAGTCCTTCAACTACTTTGTAGGTATTTTAATACCTAGAGGAGAGGTATTTTAGTATCATATCCTAGAAAGGATTGTTTTGGTTTTTTTTTCCCCTGTCGAAGTTTAATTCCTCAAAAGTCTTAAGAATTCTGAGTGGGCATCTGCAGGAACACCAAAATCTATGGAACAGAACACTAGAAAGACTATTTCTATGTTTTTACCTTTGAATTACTTGATTGAAACACAGTTCAGCTTGCATGAGTCTTCCTAAGTGCTTCAGACAGAGGCCTTTCAGTAATTGCAACATGGCCACATCATCCATATAATATTCACTGTGATCTACAAGTAAAAGCAAAATACACCGTACAATTTACATACACCTTCATAAAAAGAAAAACAAGAGATTTGCATAGTAGGAATCAGCCAGGCTCAGGAGTCAAAATTTTACAGTTTAAAATGCCTCAACGCATACAAGAGAAAATAAGTGCACAACATTGCACCTACTGCACAGCATTGCTCTTTTTCCTCTTTATCAATTCCTATAATCAAAGGAATTAACGAATATAAACCCTCAGTCCCTTCTTCTCTATCGGGAATCTGTGCAAAATAGGCATAACCTTGCACTCTAACACCTGTAGCACCTAGCACAGCAGACAAAGCCTTCAGTAAGACAATACCTCTTGCACACTATATTCTCTTAAAAGCATCCACTATTCCACAGTGCTCACAAAGCTCACTAGCACCAGCAGCACCAAAAGCATAAGAATTCATATGGATGCTGTCACCTAAAACTTTTAGGAAACATTATATGGCAACAAAAATTAAAGAAACTGTGTTTGTTAGTATTCCCACCATCTCTACCACTTAAGAAGCTTCACTGGCAGTGGTGCAATGTTCAGAAAAAAATAAGACTTGTGTCCAACAGGACTAAAAGCATCAACTGAAGGGGTATTTGTTAAGTGGACCAGAAATATAAACTGAATAAGCAGAGCCCTTTCTTGTTGCTTTGGTTTGTAACATTTGCTAGCTGCCATAAAAGAAAAACACATACGGAAAGACAGATGGCTGCACATATATTAACAATTCAGGAAGCAAAACACCCTCCCATCAGATCATCTTGTTTACAACTAATTACCAGTCCTCTAAGGTCACGTTCATTTTTTCAAATAGTCTGCCAAAAAAAATCCTACATAAACAGTTCCAAACATGCAAGATTAAAGCACCTTAGGATTCAGTGAGACACTTTGCCACTATGTTCAAGCTGACTTCTGTCTGCACATAAACCTGGAGAAGGTTTGACAGGCAGCAACTCAAGCTCTTTTTTAACACTAATGTTAAATCTTTTTTAATATTAATATTAATCACAATAATGGGAAAATATTTGCGTTCCTTTAAACACTTGGCTAGGCTAAGGTAATAGGTTACTGTGACTATCTCCCATAGGCCTCAAGTCCCTGAACTTACTGCACGTAAGCGCTGATGCTAGTAAAAACTTGCCAGTTCTTATCACCTTCTTCAAGTTTTCTTGAACTCTCCTGGTATTTACCACAGGAAAAGCTATTAAGCCAGAATTCTGTAACCAGGACACCAAGTGACCAGTACAATTTAATAAAGACAATGTTTAAATAAATGTTGAAGAGTATCTTCTTGCAGTCCTCTACCTCTATATTCATTAGGAATATAAAAAACAGGAACGGTCAACAGAAAAATTAATTAAAATTAAAGTTACAAAATCCTGTTTATATTTTGGACATTAAATAGCAACAGTCATGGAAAATAGTATTTCCAGAAATCATGAGGAAAAGGTAACTTTCAAGATCATTCACCTCTTCCTTCTCTTGTTTCTATTTTTAGCACATTCAGACTACACAATCCATTAAAATCCTTGACAGATTCCTTGCTGTGCCTGTATACTTGAGGCCAGCGTAATACTAACAGCTCTCTTAAGGACTGAGACTTCTTAAGTGACCTTTATGTCTAATTTACACATTTTTATAGCACTTAAGAAACCCATTAAAGTTTTCTTGTACTAACAGTTGTCATTTAGAATAATATCACATCCTTGTCACATTATGCTAATTGCTCTAATCACCTTCTTCTGGTCTGAATTCTGCACTAATTCTCGCAGTCACAATCTGTAACTTGCCTAACTTCATAACTTGAAAAAATAGATATAATGCTTACAGATGCAAAGCTCACAACTAAATTACCTTTCACTGC